TTTGTCTAATTTCCTTGTATTATTTATCTATATTCTATTGTATCTCACTGACCTTCTTTAATATTTTTAAATTCTTTGTCAGGCATTTCATAGATTTCTTTTTCATTGGAATGTTGGTGAGAATTATTGTGTTCTTTTGGAGGGTGTTATGTTTCCTTGCTTTTTTATGTCTCTTGTGTTCTTTCATTGATATCTGTGCATCTTCTGTAATAGTCACTGCCTCAAATTTTGTGGATTGGCTTTCATAGGGGAAATACTTTTTCCTATAGATATATCTGTTCTTTTGGGTCAGGCGCTTCGGTTGTGATTCTGGATGGGTATAGTAGCATAGTTTCTGTATGATTTCTTGGGCTGTAATCAGTCATTTGTGTCTGAGAGTTTCCCAATGGCTTAGGCTGTGGTGGTTAGTGAAGGCTGTGGTAGAGTTTTGCTGGGGATGAGGACACCAGGTAGAGACCAGTCCTTGGATCACAGCAGGCTGAGTGCTGATCCTTAGGGCTCCAGGCAGCATTCTGTGCACCAAACGTAGTGAGTCTGGACAGGTTGATTCTTAGGCCTCCAGGCAGTTTACTTGGGTACCAGCAGTGGCAACAGCATGCTGGGTGAGCAGATGGGCCCTTGGGCTCCTGGGCAATGTGTGTTGGTGATGATAGGAGCAGCAGTGGGCTATCCCTCTGTCTCCCAAGCAGTATGCAGAATGTGTATGCAGTTGGTGGGTTGGGGCGGGGTATGCAGCCTGTGGCAAGTGGGGCAGACTAATCCCTAGCCCTCAGACAGCATGCTTGGGCGCCACTGGTTGTCGTAGCAGCAGAAAGCTGTGTAGGCTCATCCTTAGGCCCCCAGAAGGTGTGCATGAATGACAGGTGGGCGAGTCTGCTTTCAAGTTCCCCTTGTGTGTGTGCGTGCCAGCAGCAGCAGCTAAGGAGGGCATAATATGGCATATTTTTATTTTTTGTCTATAGGGAATAATTGTCATGTGACTTCAGAACTTGTTTTTCCTTTTATATATTAAAGAACTAGGTATTAAACAAACAGAAAAACAACAAAAAATAGAAACTGGATGATGCATGCCTTGTTGACTTTGTGCTCTCTCCCTTATCCTTTTATCCCTTTGGAAATAGGCATCAGGGCAATAATATCGTTACAAGTTGGGTAATAGTTTATAAACTTGTTTTCAAGACTAGCAGCCCTAAGTGTCTTCAAACCCTCTATTTTGGGAAGTTAATTTAGTTGAATGGTTTTGTGGAAGCTAGTTGCGCATATGAAGAAATACTTTCATATCATGTATGCTTTATAAATAGCAACACAGACCACTATTTAAAATCCTAAAAATACATGTGATTCATAACTCAAAGTTGTTTTCTCTGAATCATTTGTAAACTTTTCCTTAGTCTGTGATAGATAGATCAGAATGATCTACCCTCTATTTTTGCTGTCAGACATTTCTTAGCCCTAATAAAAAATATTTGTGAGTCCTACACTATGAAGGTTTCACATTGACTTTATGGGAGGGATTGCCCACATACATGTGATTCGTAAGGTAAATGTTTCTTTTGTCTCCAGTAGAAATATAATGCAAGTCACAAATGTGAATCACATGTATAATTTTAAATTTTCTATTAGCCATATTAGAAAAGTAAAAGGTAAAATTAATAATATATTTTTAACCTAATATGTTCAAAATATTATTTCAACATATAATCAGTATGAAAAATTATTAATGAGATTTTTTGGTATTAAATCTTGAAATCTAAAGGAAATTTTATACTTATAGCATATGTCAATTTGAACTAGCCACATTTCATGTATTATATAGCCGCATGTGACAGGCAACTACGGTATTGGACGGTCCAGCCCTACTGCAAAAGTATCTTCATAATCTGGATCAGATTGTAGAGCTTTTTCTTAAAGCTTTCCATACTGCCATGTGTAATCCCTCTGTCAGTGGTCCTACCTCCCCAGCCCTCTTCATAGTCTTTCTCTGCCTCACTTCTGTCTTTATACCATCTTGTACTCTCTTTGACACTTCCTTCCTTTTATACCACATATCCTCTCCTTCTTTCTGTCAAGTTCTCTTGCATATTTTGCTGAGATTCTGAAGAGAGAAAGTTCCATTAACAGTATGGTCTCCTACCTCCACACACAAAAAAATATGTTACCGGGGAAATGTAAGCTGATCCCAACAGTATCAGTAACCTGGGGAAATGAAGTTCTTCCTCCTCTTGGAAAAGATAGGAATCTCTGATGACAGTGGTTTTGAATGATATAGGAAAAACTGATCAGAAGTGTGTAACACGTAGCATTTTTTTCATGAAATGTAGAATAAGAATTAGCTATTTTGCTATTATTAACACTGTTATAAATCAGTGTCAGAAGCCAACTGTTTAACAGCTACCTCGGAAATGGATATAAGTATACAAGTTTAGTTTTGCTGACTAGGTTAGAGCAAAGGAGCATAACCAAATTTTCTTGCCAGACTAT